ACAAATATAGGCTTTGTTTGTTAGTCTTTTCTGGCATTATACCTAATAAAAAAAGTTCAGGTTTAAAATCTACATGTTCTTTCAATATCTTTTCTAACCAAATATGTATCTTTTTCCAATAATTCTTTACTTTATCACATGTCCACCAAACATGATAATATGTTTATATTTCCAACATCTATCTGACATATTTTTAAACATTTTGGCTAATCTTGCTGGTGGCAGGTGCCATCTATAAAATATTTTATATAAATTTTCTTTATAAGAAGTTGACATTGTCAGGTTATACCGTAAATGCCGGCGTATAAGACGACTTCCGCGAGCGCTGAAATCGGCGCCAAAGACGGGGGTCGTCTTATACGCCGAGTCGTCTGGTAGTTTCCGGCGTATAAGACGACGTTCTAGGAATGCGGCCCAGCTATAAAGACGGGGGTCATCTTATACGCGGGTCGCCTAATACGCCGGCATATACGGTAATTTTTTTCCCATAAATTTTGCCATTTTACTAATTCTATATTATATCCAAAAATTTTTGCCCATCTTATCATTGTTTCTTTAACTTGTTTGCTTTTCATTTCCAAAGTTAATAAAAAATATACATTTTCTTAATTTCTCATCTGAAGTTAACAAAGTCTTATCAAATGCCATTTGTTCTTTATAAAATCCATAGAGTTTAACATCTTTTTCATATTTAGTTTGCATATATAAATGTGCCCACCACGACAAGTTGATACCCTGATTTTCTATTTTTTGTTTAGAGTTTAGATTCCCTTCAGAATTTAGAATATCTCTATATGTCCAGATTTTTTCAAAGTCCACCAAATTTGGTTGTACAAATGCTTCCATAGTTGACAATCACCCTGGAATTTTCAAATATATTTTACTTTTTATTTTTCCCCATACTGTTAACAATGCATTTCTTATATAATGGTTTTGGAAATATTTATGAATTTTATTTTTCCCGTACCATAAAAATGCATGCCACCCCAATTATAAATCATGCCTCTCCAGATATAACAACCTTTTATTTCTAAGAGTTATCCGTTCTTTTACCCACGTTAATACAGATGCTTGATAGTACAAAACCCACTCCGGTAAACCAAATCCTCTATTTTTCTTAGCATCTTGTAATGTTTTCATCTTAATTCTAGTTTTCTTTCCTTCCCAAACGAATTTCAAAATTAATGAATTTTAATCTTGAAAACAAATTTTCTCAAGTTTTATGGGTATTGTTTGAAATAAAAATAAGATTTTCGGCAATACATTCATTTTCTCTATAGCAATTCCTCCTAGTATTGACAATTGCAAATTTTTCCATTTTTCCAAATCCAGTTTTATTTAATTCAATAATTTTGTGTAATTATCTTCTTTTATTGTTGAACATCTTGCTGTTAAACGTAGACACAAATATTTAACCTTTTTAACTATCTGTAACACTGTTTTTTCTGACTTTTTTTTTGTTTATCTGTAAGATTTTTTGCTATTACCTTAGTTTTTTCTCTGTTTATTTTCAATCCTGCCATTTCTCCATACTGTTCTACCTCTCCCAGTAATTTAGGAATCATCTCCAAAGGTTCTTCTAAGATAAATACCAAATCATTAGCAAATGCTTGTAGTTTATATGTTTCACCTTTTATTTCCAGTCCTTTAATTTCTGTATCTTGTCCGATATTTCTATTAAGACTTCCAGAGTGAAAATGAATAACAATGGAGATAGTGGACATCCTTGCCTTATATCTTTTCATATCTCAAAGTTCTCAGTATAATTTCCATTCATGATCACTTTTGCTGTTTGTTTGTTGTATATTTTTTTATCATATTTATAAAGTTCTGTCCAAAGTCCATTATTTGTAATTGTTGAGTCACAAATTGCCAGGAAACGTTATCAAATGCCTTTTGAGCATCTAGGAATATTAGTGCCAGTTGTTTCTCTGGATGTAGTTCATATTATTCTAATATGGCCATTATCACTCTTAAATTGTTTTTAATCTGTCTCTTTGATAGAAAACCATTTTGGTCTGGATGTATAAATTCAGTTAGGTGTTTTTTTTAGTCTCTCTGCCATTATTGAAGTAAAAATTTTATAGTCCACATTCAGCAGCGATATCAGTCTGTAATTTTTAATCGGTGTCAAATCTGAACCTGCTTTTGGCATTAAAGTAATATTTGCTTCCATCCATGTGGCTGGGAGTTTAGCCTCCAACAAAAGTCCATTATAAACGTATTTCAACAGTTCACTTAATGTATCTTGTAGGGTTTTATATAACTCCGCCAGTAATCCATTTGGACCCAGTGTTTTTTTTTTTAAAATTGCCTTCTTATGGCCTCTGTTATTTCCAGCATTGTGATTTTTTCCAGTAACATAGTCTTAAATGTTTCTGGAATTTTTGAAAGATTATTTTCTTCTAGATATTGGATCATTCTCTCTCTTGGAATTTCTTCCATGTCCTACAGTTTCTTGTAATATTTCTTAATTATCTTTATTTCTTTATTTTTTAATTGTAGACAGCCTTTTTTATCTACTAAGTCAGTGATGGCGAACCTTTTAGAGACCGAGTGCCGAAACTGCAACCCAAAACCCACTTATGCATCATCGGATGCCGGGTGGATGTGGCCAATTGGGTGGGTATGGCCCATTGGGTGGGTGTGTCTGCAATGGTAACAGCAGACTGGGTGGGACTAAAAAGTTCAATCAATTCCAACTTTGCAAGATTTTTTTTTCCCATGAGAAGTTGAAATTGATTGATTGAACCATTTTTTTTGTACACGGCAACGGAGGCCTAAAGCGAAAAGGTTTTATGAAACCCAGGGCTCTGAGTGCCACCTCTGGCACCCATGCCATAGGTTCGCCACCACTGTACTAAGTTGTATATCATTTTCTTCTTCTGTTTTTTAAGTTTATAAGCTAACCATCTTCCTGGTTTTTCTTCCAGTTTTCCCTGTTTTACTGCTTTTATAGTCAATTGTCCCATCTACTATTGCATTAAAGTCTCCTACTAAACAAATATTTTGGTACTCCATTTCTATTATTTTTCTATGGAGGCTTTGGTAAAATTCTTCCTGGTTATTATTTGATACATATATTACTACTAACAATGTTTGGTTTTGATGTAGATATATTTCTACCATCACAATTCTTCCTTCTTCATCTGAGTAAACCATTTTACAATCTATTGTCTCTTTAATATATACAGCAACATCTCTTTTTTTCTGATGCATAATAAAGTTTCCCAATTTTGGGGTATTCCAACAGTTTATGTTGTTGTTTTTTTATATGTGTCTCTTGCAAACAAATTATATCTATATTTAATTTCTGTAATTTCCTGAAAATTTTGTTCTTTTTGATGGGGAATTTAGTCCATTTATATTCACTGAAAAAATTCTGTTTTCTTTCTCCATTTCCATTATTTATATTTAGGTCTAGTCGATCTCGTGGTCCTCTGTTCTCTGGCAGTTCCTTCACTTTCTTGTTCAAATTTCTCTTTTGTTCTCCTGTTTGTGTAGTTACTTCTTCAATTGTCTCTTCCATTTGTTTCTGTTCCTTACTCTCCTCTTGCTGATGTTGCACTCCATCTAAGACTGCTCAGTTTCTTACTTCAAAGTCTTCTGCTTTCCAGATTGAATCCAGTCGATATCTTGTATTATTCCAATTAATTAAAATCCCTTCTGGCATTATCCATCTAAAATTTATGCCTTTTGCAATCAGCTTTGTAGTTAAAAAATAGTAATGTCTTCGAGTATCTCTTAATCTCTTAGGTATCTGCTTTAAGACCACAATTTCTTTATTTTTGTATTGTAATGGCTCATTTCTCACTTTTCTCAATACTTCATATCTTGTTGTTTTCTTTATGAATTTCACATGTACTTCTCTAGATAATTTATATTTCCTTGCATAGTTTGAATTCCTTCGAAATATTTCATCTATCTCTTTGCATCTCTGCTCTGTCTGCTTTCAAAGCCTCTGCCAGAAGCTCAATGATCACAACTGCTATATTTTCTTCTCTGTCTTCAGGGATATTTTGAAATCTCAAATAGTGTTCTGCCTTCTCCATTTCTAAGATCGCCACCGCTCCTTCTAGATTTTGATTTGCTTGTTCTAATTTCTCATTTTCTTGTAATAGTATTTCCATTTTTTATCAATATCATCTGATTTGTTTCCCATTTTCTGAATTCTTTGTTCATTTTTGGCAATCATTTGATGATGAACTTCAAATTGTGCCTTTATATTCAAAATTTCTTCACTTAATTTATCAAAATTGCTTTTTGTATCTTCATGATTTTTTTTTGCATTGATTCTTGTATCAATTTTAATGTAGTCTGCATTTCATGTTGGGCAGTGCTTATTTTCTCACTGCAACATTGTTTCAATAGATCCCTGAGTTGTTAGGCTAGGTATTCCAAAAAAGGATGTGAAGAAAGTCTTCTTCATAAGTCTGGTGATGTTTGATGTACTCATTTTTCAGCCAACAGTCTTAGGGTAAAATCCAAAATGTAAAAAGGAGCCAACTACTTTAAGCTAAATCCAGTATCTCAAGGAAAAAAACAAAATAGAGCAGGCAAAAAGAAAGAAAAAGTCAACAATCTTAGGCTAAAATCCAATCCAAAAGAACAAGCCAACTACATTAGCGCAAATCCAACTCCTCCAGTCAGGTCTCAGATGTAAAGCATTCATTGTCTCCAAATAATTCCTGTTTTAGTTATATCCAGAATCAACAAATATAGTTATGAAAAGTCTTTTCCATTGTAGACTCACACCAAGGCACTTTATTTACACCAGGTGTTATCCCAAGGTCAATTATTTCCAGATTTTTTTTTAGTATTTAACAATACTGTAATTTTTTCTTTCACCACTAAATGTCCTCATACATTATTTTATCAATGTCTGATTTTAGAAAATTTTTAGAAAGTTTTTCTTTTAAAGTTCTTTATAGGTTGTTTACCCTTAAGATTATATCTAGAAAATTTTTCCACCTCTTGTAGATTAAGTAGTCCTTCTTTGAATCAATCTGAGTTCAATTTTTAGAATTTTTTTTTTTGTATTCCTTAAATATCTTCCCCTTTTGTAATTGCTCGCCACCTTTAGCTTCAATTCTTCTGAGGTCTTTACTTTTTAGCTCTTCCCAATCAGGGGCTCAACGTTTTTTAATCCAAAAGGAAAAGGAAAAAGCACTGGCTCACCCAGCTTCAGCACGCTGTTGACAATCAGCTATTTGGTGGAGTGCCGCAGCTCCTCGCTTTCCTTCTGGCTGGCGAAGACTTGGGCTGCCTGGGCTCACCCAGCAGCCTTTCCTCTGTCCTTTCAGAAGGTTTCTTCAGTCCGCTCAGACCGACCGCCATTTGGTCCGGATTCCTGAAGTATCCCTCCTTCTTCGTTGCCCCTCCAGGGTAACTTTCTGACTGTTTAGGGTCGCTGAGCAAAGCAAATTTGGGCTGAGAAGCTGGAGCCCTGGCTTCTTTCATTCATCTCGTCAGCCATCGAAACCGGAAGTCTGAAAATTAAGGAAGTTTATATTTAATGTAGAGGAATAATGTTTCACATCCAAGACTAACAATAAGGTAGGATATTAAAAGCAGCACAATGGAAGAAAAAGATATATCCAGAATAACTTAACAACTGTATAGTCCACCTAGCATGACTGTGACATATTCAGTGTTTAAAATACAATCTTTTTCTATACTGCATTCTTTATCATTAAAATATTCATTTTCCTTTTATGCAGAAAGCTGTACAGGCCAAAGCTGCTATGCTGACATGTATAAGTTGCCAAAGCTTTCATTAAATATTTCTAATGAATCATATAATTTTAATCGTGCTTAATGTCTGATAATATATTAATAAAATCAAAGTATTTTTAATGAAGAGCTGAATAGCATGAGGGACATGCCCAATCATTAGAAAATATATAGACTTAATGAATCAATTGCAGAAATCCTTCTGTCTGATCATTGTCAGTTAAGGATTCAACATAACTTAAAATTTGATAGCAACTTTGTAGTATACAGGGGATCAATTTTATTCAGCATATAATCAGGTTCAAAATAATTCAAATAACTAGCTATTGTAAGATAAACTTTTATACCTCATTTGTTTAAGTTGCTATTCTTGATATACCGGTTGGGCATCAGCATTATAGCAAGCCACAAAAGTACTCAAGAATCATGAATCCGAGAATATATTCCCATTTCAAACTGCTGAAAACAGCAGTTTTTATGAGAGTTGTCTTATAATTTTCTTGACTTGAAAATAAGAACTGAAATAGTGTCTATTGTGTACATAAGAACAAAACCCTCCTCAAACATCAAAGAAATGTACAAAAAAAGAAAAGAAAAATAGTACTTATGTTGATCAGTATTTTTACAATGCCTGCAAGCCACGACTTGCAAAATGTAATGGCTGAGTTCACACATACTATAATTTAAAAACAAAGTACATTTTGATCTAATGCAATTGTAACCATGTCCATCTGTTTCATATGCTTCACTTACATTTTCAAGCACAGGCAACAACATGCAATGAAATGTAAACGGTTATATCACTGTTGATAGCCATGTTTATACTTGAAATTAGTGATAAATTTCCAGACTGCCAACCAAAAGGGAATGAAATGGACTATGGTGTGCAGATCTTGCTGATAAAGCAATTTTTTTCTGAACTGTTTTACATTATATAACAATGAAGAACAAGTATCAGTTGACAAGACAAATAACTTCTAAACCTGTCACTGCATGACTTTTTATTTAATTCAATTGGCAATAGATCTTCATTTGGATTTTTTTAAAAAATAGGGACTTACAAAACTGAATTACTGTCTGTCCTAGATTTTATGAGAATATATGAGAATTTTCTATTTTTCTTCTGGAATGTGTGATCCACATCATCTGGAGAACACCAAATCAGTGAATTTTGAACACAACTAAAAATACATATATCATTTGTAAATATATTAGTGACATGATTGCCTTAGTAAAATATGTTACTTTACCTTGATATTACTTACTAATTTTACTAAATTTGAGCTGTAATGCCAGATTATTTTTACCAATGAATAAGTGATATATATATATTTTTTTTTTTGTCAAATCTGATTTCTGGTAACTTGTTTTTTTTTAGAAGTCGTGTGCACACCTATTTATAAAGGTGTACTTATTTATAGCACACCTTTAAAATCTTTGTTAAATTTTTAAAATCAAACTCAACAAAGTTAGCAGGAGTTTAGTGTGTTACAATTCTAATTCTCAATGGATCAGTTTGAACAAATATAATTATTTAACACACATTAATAGTTCGGCTAAACATAGCAATAGCACTATACCGCTTCATAGTGCTTTACAGTCTTCTCTAAGTGGTTTAAAGAGTGTTTAAAGATTATTGTTCCCAATAATCTGAGTCCTCAATTTACCAACTTCAGAAAGATAGAAGGCTGAATCAACCTTAAGCCGCTCACAATCAAACTCCTGGAATGAGCAATGAGTTAGCCTGCAGTACTGCATTCTAACCACTGCATCACCACAGCTCCACGTAAAGTAAATATGTTTGGTATTGAATTAATAATACATCAATCAATGATGATTTTTGTTCAGAGTTATTATTTGGGTTAGAAAGATTTATTTTCAGGAATTTCAGCTGCTATGAATAAACAGTATAATTAGATACAGGATGTCCTCAACTAATAACTACAATTGAGTCCAAAATTGCTATTGATAAGCAAGACAATTGTTAAGTCAGTTTTGACCCTTTTGACCTTTTAACATTTATTGTTACAGAATCAATCAGCAATGTTAATGTAAAGCACAGATAAAGAGGATTCTTAACCTGATGTTGTACTGAACCTCTCAATTCTTTAAACCAGCCCTGCCTTTATATTCCTTAATATTGCAAGTTTACCTTTTACTATTTAGTAAAATGTTATATATACAAATGGAATATTCTATGAATGCATTTTTATATATTTTTGTATGTATTTTTGCTTGGTCAGAAAGACTCAAAGATTGGTCAATTATATTAGTAATATGATTTTTCCTCTCTTAAAAGAGGAAGACAACCAAATTCAGCATATTCACATTCTAATGATCAATTGCTAAAAAGTTTAAAAACTTCAGATTTTAATGTATCTTTCATATTTAGAGACCACCCATCTCACACAGAGATCAATATTAAAAGATATAAAACCCACAGACCTCACCACTATGTTTAAGGAAAGGGACCAAATCTGACAATCACCCTGTTGTTCTCCAGAATTTTAGGATTGTGGCAAATGGCAAGAAAAACCATCCTGGTTCCTATCTTGTTACCAGGGACATAGCTGGGAAAATAGTAATAGACAATCTCTAGAAATGTAGCTATGTTAACCACATAACTAACATTTTGTTATGAAGCAAATTATAATTAAATACCAATTTTCTTATGCAAACAAAGTAACTTCTAAGAATAAGATACCTTATATAAATTTAGAAATATTCTGCCATTAAGGGCACACAAGTAACTTCGAGTTTTAAAAGGAAGGCTATGCTAATAGCAAGAGTGGAGTCAGGATTTTTTTCAGAAAAATTAAGATACTAGTTAGGTATGTTTCAGTTGGACTCTTCAAATATTAATCAGTAACTGATAAACTTAAAAGAATGAAAGCTTTGATCAGTTTATCTTTATTCAGATCCCTCCACAAGCATAAATCAAACAAGAAACATTGCAAAATAATTGGTGCAAGGGATCTGCATACTATTCAGCTGAATCCAGAATAAATCTAGAAACAAATGCATATCCAGACAAAGCTTAATATTAATTCCTTCGTTCTGTGAGGCAGCACAAATTTGCTTAGCCTCCGATCACTACTCTGTTAAGCTAGTTAAGCTAGTCAGTCTAGCTATTCTAACAATTTGCAAGTACAAACTAAGATTCAGTGGTTAGTTGATTTGCTCTAATGAGTAAAACATCCATCCATAAGCATTGTCCCTAATACTTGTACGGAGTAAATCCAGGGCTAGTGAGGAAGACAACAAGGCAAACCTGTTGGATTTAGCCTTCTAATTGAGCCTGATCTGAGGAAGTACTGCATGGCAATGGAGAATGTCCATAAAAGTTTTACTTGCAAGGAACATTGCTAATAATACAATAGATATGTGAATAATTAATTAGTGAAGATAACAAATTGCATCATTGAATTTCTACTGCAAATCTTTCTTGTCAGCAAAGTCATTCTGCAATGATACTATGACAGAGAGATGACAAAGTACTTAATTGGATTGAAAGAATGACATTTATTTAATGTTCTAAAAATGGTATTTTGCAATCCACACACAAAAAGTTCATTAAGAACAACCCATCTGGGTTGTTCTTTAACCAAGCACACTTTAACCAAACACAATAGCCAACTCAATGTCTCCGAAGTGCTAACAAGATAGAGAAATACCTCTTGCTATCAACATTTCTTTTCAGCTGGTATTTAAGGCAGGCAGTTCTAAACCCTAAGTCTAAGTCTTAAAAAGGAACAGCTTTGAAATACTTAATCTCCATGAAGTGATTATAATTTTGTAGTAATGAATTCTACAGTTATATATCACAAGAAGTATTTTCTTTCATATATCTTTCTTCATTGCTGTCACTAGATGATCTGGTGACCAGAATTCTGAGAGAACTTCTCCCTGTCCACTTTCTCCATACCAAGTGTGACTTTATTCACCTCAATCGTGTTCCGTCTTAGTTATCTTTTCCCTATTTCAGCCCACAATAGTCCTTTCTGCATAAAGAGTTTAAGTGCACGTGACCTCATTTACACTTTTTCTAGTTCTGTTGTGTTACACGCCTTTTCATACCCAACATGGCAAGCATAACTGTACAGGAATTTCAGGTGCCAACATCCTTACATTTGTAAAAGGACATTTTTTAATCTTTGCAGTTTTATTTTTTAATCTCTTTCTTAATTATCTCTAACGTGAGATTTGCCTTGGTGCATACTGTGTTAACATCTTCACTATGCTCTCCATTATGATCCCAATATCTTTTTCTCCATTAATTTCAGAGAGCTCACTGTACATACGAAGTTAAGCAGGGAATGTTCTAAATCTTAAATATAGATTATATGTAATCAATATTTGCCCTTTGTTTGACCATTGACTCAACTGAAAGAAATCTTTCATTTTTTTACTACCTTGTAAAATACTTATCTGCTTATTTGGTCAGCTCACTGCATTTCCCTAAACCAAGATCATTTATGAACAAGTAAAGATATTGGTTCAATTGGTTCAGTTTTTTGGTTGCAAAAAATGTCTATTACTAACATTTCCAACATTACTAACACAAAGTACAGAATTAGATACAAATGGGAATGGCATAATGCAAGCTTAATAATTTAATTATATGTTAACATTAACATGATTTTTGATGCTTATCCAATATCCAATATTTATTCTATTGGTATATTGTTTAATAAGAGATGGTGGGGATCAGTAAGTACCCTTAAACAATGTTTCTTTCTTAAATTGTTTTCTTATATTATAAAACAGAAGTAATATTTTATATTATTTAGGTACAATGGTGTTTATACCATATTGACTAGAGATTATTAACTCTTATGTTAAATTTAAACTTTGAAAGATAAAAAGAAGTTTGCATAATATTAGCCATCTTTTCTAAAATTCAATGTTAAAGAAAATTTTACTTCAAAGCTAATGTAGCATTAATAAAAAGCTGCAAAATATTTCAAACTGAATAGAACAGAACAGAATAGAATAGGAGCTGGAAGGGACGTTGGAGGTCTTCTAGTCCAGCCCCCTGGTCAAGCAGGAGAACCTATACCATCTCAGACAAGTGATTGTCTAGCTCTTGTGTGTTATACAATAAAGGTTTTCTGTCTTAAGCTTAATGCTGTATGTTACTTATTATTTATGACAAGGAAGATTTTTCATCTAAATGTGACTTAACCATATAAGGCTTTTGGAGACGCAAAATATTCTGGATATTTCTAACTTAATTTGTTTAGCTCCGGACCATATCCATGAAAGCCTGTATGATAACAAATGTGTTAGGTTTGATGATGAAGAGATATCATATGTATCCTAAGGGTCAAAGTCAAGACAGGTGATTATTCCTGCCTTTTGCTATAGGTGAAAACTTTATAGAAACATAAGTGTGGTCCGATAAAGTAACAACTACTTTAGAATAGAAAGCTCTGTCTGAAACCAAGTGATAATTACCATAAAGCTAGTCCCAAAGGTGCTTTTCCAAAAGGCTTGTTTTTTTCCCCCTGAAAATGTTTTGCTTTTCAGCCAAGAAGCTTCTTCAGTTTTGAAGAACAGAACTGAAGCTTCTTGAATGAGAAGCGAACCTTTTCAAGGAAAACCCCTCAAGTAAGTCCAGTTGCCTTTTAGAAAAGCACCTTTGGGACAACCACGACCTGGATGACTGAGAATCTCCATATTTACCATAATGCTACAGTACAGTTACTCAAGAAGCTGAAAGCATTGAAATTTCCTTTCTGACCCAGGGAAGAAGTCCAAAATTCAAGGAAATGTCTAAGTCAGCCATCTTCCTGCTCCGCGCGGTTGGAAGAGGGACAGAAACTCGCAAGCCCGCTTCTCTGTTCTTTTGATGTAGCTCAAGACCCACAGATCCGTCTCACCACGCGGAGTTACACGTGAGAACGGCTTGTTCTTTCTAACGTCCCCTCCCTTCGGCCTCCTGAGAAAAAAGGAACCGTGTCACTAGGTGAAAGACGCCCAAGCGGCAAAGCAGAGGGAATGAGGCGCAGGTAGGGAAAGGAAAGGAAGGGTGGCAGCGCAGAAGCACGTGGGTCAGAGCCGAACTCCCGTTGACTCCTCTTGCTTTGTCAGGGGGAGGAGGAAACAGCCGCAGCAGCCCTGACAGGGAGCCAGCTCAGCAAGAAACTTCCTCAGGAAGGCTCGGCGGCGGCTTCTGCGGCCGTTCTTTCGTCTCCTCCCGCCTAACAACGCACGAGGCAGCTCCACGCACAGGGCAGGCGGGTGCACCTCCCATGAGTACAGCTGCCGCAGTGGTTCATTCTGCATCCGCACGCAGGTGGAAGGCACAGAAAAGGGACCCAGAAAGAGGCGCCCCCCCCCCTGCACCGCGCGCCCCGGCAGCTCTTCAAGACTGTCACCAGAGACGCACCGGGGTGGGCTTAAGTCGGCGGCTCAGGAGGCTTTCTCAAGGGCCAGCCGCAATCCCCTTCCTTCTTCTTTGAAAAAAACCACGGCCCTCGGCAGCAGGTTCTTGGAAGAGAGGAAAGGCAGGCATGGAGCTGAGTGTCGGTAAGTAGATTCTTTATTGGGACGAAAGTCCGCAACCGTAAGTGCCCAGAAAGTGGGGTGGGGTCATGGGGTTTGCCTAAGGGGATAATTAGAGCAAGAGAGTTTGGGTAGATGGAGTATTGCACTTTAAGCAACTGCTTTTACTAAGGAAGATCGCTTCGGCCAGTGTCTTGATCCTAAATGATTTGAAGGTCGCTTTACTAGTTTATTCTCGTGTTTCTGTTCCAAAAGCAAAGGAACACAGAGTAAGACTTGTAGCTTCTACACCTCTGGGGCTGGCTGAAGCGGTGATGAGGTTTGTGCTGACTGAAAGGGAAGACCTTGGCTTAGAAATGAGAGGTTACAAACTAGTGGGGTCGGGAGAAAAGGGTGGGAGAAGAAACAGCTATCAGTCCATTCAGGGGGGAAAAAAACGCATCATGGGAATGGAGGGTTGGCGAAAAAAACCCTTTCTTGGAGCTTGATCGGAATCCAACTTTTTCTTTGGGATAGCAAGGCTACGATACTTTACAGAGAGATCAGTCTGGGCATTTGGCCTTGCGGACAGGTTTGTGCTTGCCGCCGCTCCCTCTTCCCCATAGTTGCTACCCCTGTTTCTACCAGTTGTTTTCTTTCCGTGGCCTCACATGGACTGGCCGGCTGAGCCATGTGCGCCCTTTTGTTTACGTTCAGTGCCTGGCGCGCCCTCATTGGCTCTGGCTTGCTCAGATGCCCAGATTGCATAATTGCGCTGGGCGGTCTTGCTGGGGCACCGTGTGGACTGACACGTGTAAGCAGCTGGAGGCCGTTGTTTTGGTGACCTACATCCAGGCGCAGCGGGCAAGGGACACGTGGGGGGCGGAGGCAGTGGAGGCGATTCATTCAGCCACGCCCGTCATCTCTTCTCACTTCACCACAAAGTGGTGATTTGTACTTGGTGAATGGAAGTTGCTCTGCAGACAAAGGATCCGAAGGCGGGCCGTTTCCGCTTGGCATTGGGAGGGATTGTGCCTGGAACCGCGGAATGCTTGACCGTTGACCGGACGTCTTCAATTGCTGGGCAGAATTTGGTCACTTTTGGTCTCGAAGTGATGGAGGACTAGGTAGCTTTAGTTTGGTTAACTGCACATTCCCTAAATAGATTTCATCAGGAGCTTGATTAATTGAATTTAGAAAACCAGGGATAGGATCAGAGATAAATATAAGTTCAGCGCTGATGTTACCTAGAGTGGTAATGAAATGTCTCCAAGCAAATAACCAAGCTCAGGGAGCACCAAGGACTCCACAATAAAGATACTGCTCAGTGGTGTATTTTGGCAGTGGTATACTTCTCTGTTTTCTTTCTCCTGAGTGAAACTGTGTTATCCTATATACTTGTTTATATATAGAATTTGACAATATATTGTGGCCATATTGGTCTACAATTCCTGTAATTTGTAGACAACAGTGAAGGAAGTTTAAATCAAGAGGGTTAAATGTGTCTGATTCTGTAACTTCTTGATTGTATATAGAATTGCTACAACTTTATGTACAGTGATAGATAAAGTTGTAGCAATTCTATATACAATCAAAAAGTTACAGAATAAAAGAATTGGAAGGGACCTTGGAAGTCTCCTAGTCCAACCCCCTACTTAAACGGGAGATCATACCATTTCAGACAAATGACTGGCTAGTCACTTCTTAAAACTTCCAGTGATGGAGCACCCACAACTTTTGGAGGCAGGCTGTTCCACTGATTAATTGTTCTAACTGTTAGGAAATTTCTCCTGATGATTCTAAGTTTTCTCTCTCTTTGTTAATCTTACATTCCTTGTCTTCTCTTAGGTGCTTTGGAGAATTGGTTGACCCCCTCTTCTCTGTGAGTGACTCTCATATATTAAAAGATTGCTATCACGTTAAGTTCAGTGGGCTGTTTTCAGAGAAAAGTGTAGATAAATACTGCTAAATGTCTTCCTGGTTCTGAAAAAAAATTGAAGCTCAGAGATATGGTGAACTGTTTTTATTTAAAAAACAAGACGAGTTATCAGAATTTAAAGGAGAAAGAACATAGGGGAAGCTTGTTGATACTGTCACTAACTGTGTGATGTTGCTGTATTTTCCTGAAAAACTAATGCAGTTATTTCCCAACTTGCCTTCATTCACTTGCAGGACTTGTACGGGCCTCCTGTCTCCTAATGACTCTAGAAAGCTCACAACAATCTATTTAAAAAAAATGGTTAAAAACAAAAGTACCCTTTCGCCAGGTGCCAGACCAAATATCCTCCAAGCTCAACCCCTACCTTGGGGGAAGGACCAGGTCTGCACAGCCCTTCAGAAGGCAAAAAGGAAGCCCTAAGTCATTGAGTTTACTCTTACCTATAGAACTATTTGAGCAGACAGGCATAGTTATTTTTTATTGAAGTGTAGTTGATGTAACGATACTGTCTTGAAACCTACTCAGACTTTGTTCATGGTTTCTACTCACATTTAGTCTCATGTAAATGTGTCCACCATTTTTGTATATTTATAGCCATCCACTCTAGAATTAGACTTACTTGAAAGCATTTTCTGTAGTTTGGGAATATCACACAATTTTGCTTATACCTCCTTCTAGAACAGAAACCATTTCTGGTTATTTGTATGTGTGTATGCCCATGTGATAGGAATCCAGTCATCACTGAGATCTCACTCTCACATGGACTAGGAACTGTGGCATTTGTAATGTAACAGGTTGGAGGAAGGCTGTGGAACAATTTTTTCTGATGACTGAGCTTATGCAATAGATGAAGTCAGGTGGTATAACGTGTATAGACTTCAGAGAGTTGTATAACTGAATTGGGCAGTTTGCCTAAGACTGTGAGAATTGAAATGCTTTTTTTTTATTTATGAAAGACTGGATAGCGGAGGGAGTGGTTCTCTTCCTCCCAATTCAGTAATTGTAGAAAGTACAGGTGTGTAGTGGCTGTGTGTAATTGCTCAAAATGACTGACTCCAAGTATCTATCACACAAGTTGACAAAATTGCAAACATAATGGAATTTAATAGAAAAAATATATATAACAGGATATACATCTTGGAGAAATAAAGTTGAATTGCAAGGTGATATTTTGATGATTAAAAAGGTTTTAAAAAAAGATAAGTAGAATGCCAATAAATTGCTTTCTTTGGGGTCTGTTTAATATGTAGTGAAAAACATGTAATAAAAAGGTATAAGAAAAAGAACATTAAAAGATTGCTGGATCAGATGGAGTCTGTTTTGCTTCTGGTAAGGTAAATTCCTTTTGGCTAGGAAGGAATGTAGTGCTGAGAAGCTCACTCTCATTCTAATAGACTAAAAGCAATTTATAACTGATAGAATAGTCCAGTATATAGCTGCTTTGTTTATTAGTTGGCAAGATTTTTCTTTATGGATTTGACTAATTATCTATCTATCTATCATCTATCTATTAAGTCTCGTTGGCATTTATAACATGAAACAATTTAGAACACAAAATAATGCAGACTACAGTTAGTGCTCAGCTTGCAACCATAACTGATCCAGAATTTTTATTGCTAAGCAAAGCAAGTGAGCTACACCTGATTTTATTACATTTTATTTGTTATGGTTGTTAAGTAAATCACTGCAGTTGATAAATGAATCATGGGTTATTAAGAAAATCTAGCTTCCCCCATAGATTTCACTTGTCAGAAGCTGGCTGAGAAGAGCTGAAAGTGGCAACAATTCTAACAGATGCTGCCAACAGTTGGTTGTCAGGCCTCCAAAATTAGATCACCTAACTGTGGGTGTGTTTCAAATGGTTACAAATATGACTGATTCTGCCACCTTTTTCAGTGTCATTTTAATTTCAAATGATCATCAAATGAATGATTGTAAGTTGAGGACTATTATTTGGAAAACAAACTCTAGAGGAAAAACACCACCACCAAAACAAATGTCCTAAAAGGAGTCCATTAACTATTTTGCTCAAGATTGGGGGGGGGGCAGGTTTTAATGGCTGGTTTAAATAATGGCATGGGGGACATACAAGTTTCTGAGATATCATTTGAGCAGCAGGCACTGTGAAAGAGAAGGCCTGTTTCTTGGATGGTATCAGATAAGGTTGTCTAATTGATGGGATCCAAAGCATGCTATTTCTGGTTGATCATATAGGACGAGGAAGCTATGGAAGACAGAGAACCCCCACAAATAATCAGGCTCTATGTCACAAGGACTATCTAAGCCACTGGCCTTTCTCACACTTTATGGTGAACAAATGTCATTTATACACTGTATTTTTTTTTTAGTTTTTTTGGCCTATCTTCCTTTTACTACCATGTATAATCCTGAAGTATGTTCTATGAAAGAGAGAGAGGTAGTTGCTTTTATGTGTTTCCTTGACATCATTCATAGTTTTAAAACACTTCGTTTGTCTTGCCTTTTTCCTGAATTAATTATATGTTTCTCCTTGTAAGGAAAGGCCATCAATCACTTTAATTTTCTGAACATCACTGTGATAATAGTTTAAAAAGATTTGCACCATATGAAAGGGCAATTAAAGACACCGAGCTTGTCAACTGGAAAGCTGACTGCCTGAACTCAAGACCAGAGTGCTGTGTAATGGTATGAGTTCCTGTTATTTGCCCTGCTCCTTCCCACCTAGCAGTTTGAAAGCATGTAAATGCAGGTAGATAAATAGGTACTCCTTCAGTGGGGAGGTAACAGCTTTCCATGTGCCTTGGTGTATAGTGATGACCATAAAAATGTCTTCGGACAATGCTGGCATCCTCGGTTGAGAAACAGAGGAGCACCTCCCCCTAAAGTAAGATATGACTTCATCTTTACCGTTTACCTTATGGTACCACAAAATATGTATGTGTATTTATTTTTATGTGCCATCCATATAAAATAATACTTTACAATAGAGAAAAATAAAGAGGTTGGATTATGTAAAATCATTATATTGACCATTTTATTTGTGTTTCTTTTTTCATAATATTTTCTAAAATGAAATGTTGCTATAAGCAGAACTATTAAACCATTATCATCAATCTGAAGAATTTGTAAATACATAAATGAAGTTGGACTTTTTTTTCTCCATTGTATTCCAAAGGTGAATAAGCAAGGTTATTTCTCAGTTGCCAATTTTTCCTCACTATCCTAATTAATTTGATGTCAGCATTATTGTTTATGAATATCAAATAGCAGTTTTCTCGCTGTTGATGTGCATTTACTGTGAAAATATTTCCTACTTTTCCTCAATGCTCTTTTTTATTTATTTTTTATGCATAGATTGCTGAGCCTCTTGTGGAGGTTTGAAATTATTTGTATGTTTTAACTCTGGGATTTTGTGAGTATATTACAGAATGCTTTTCTATAAAGAGATGGCTTACAGCTGTCAGGTGCTAAATCATAATAATTATATTCCTCTGTATTCTTATCTTCTAATCCAATTGTTTAAGGGTATTGTGATACTTATATAAGATTAATTATGGTAAGTGAACATGGTTTAACTTTTACATGTCCAAAGTTGGCATTCTGATGAAAATCTGAAATATGATTTAGATAAGAATTGTGTGTTAAAAAAAAATCTGGCAGAATTTCTTTTAAAGACTAGAGAATAAATAGAGGCAGTTAAATATTAGAGTTGAAGTGGCAATACGCTTCACTCAAAATTTAAAACCAGCTTTTTCTAAAAAGACATGATACATTTGTTTTATTTCTTGTTTTATACAATAAACTATGCACATAGATTTGCATGAGCTACATAAGCAGCTAGGTTGTTTGGTAGAAAACTTTGGAAATACATAATGTGCTTGTATGTAGAATATTAAGGAAAAACAGCATAAAATATTAAGTACATCGGTATCAGAATTCTGTTTCAAGTCAAATTAAACAGTTGTTTTTGTAAAATAGAGTGCACATTTACTATTTGACAGGGTATCCTTGTTTTTTTCTCTTTTTTCAATATACTGGAAATAATATTCCACTTTAAAAAGTCATATTGTTCAGTACAAAACACTAATGATAGGTGCATCACCAATGTACCATATCGTTCCCTGGTTTTGTAATTCCATCCTTAAAACCTGTTATTCAAATGTAATTTTTATTGTAATCTGATTCTGTTCCATTCACTGCAAATAATGGGGTTATGTATGAAATCAGCACACATTTGGGTAAGCACACAGGTTAAGACTCTGTTTTGCAAATTTAGAAATCATCCTTTGTTTCTCATACTATAGTTCTTATTAATGTTATTATTTGAAATGATTCTCCCTCTGAGGATCTTTTGTGAAGAGTACTTGAAATATCAGAGTATCAGTGGGAAAGTTACTGAGGTTGGGATCTTATTCATGGTTATCTCTTACTAAGCCTTTCCAAGTGCTCTTGAATTTTTTTTACAGTTATGCATAAATAACTGTGCTATAAGGCTAAAAGTACAAAAAGTTCCATTTCTCTATTTCAGTGATGGCAAACCTTTTAGAGACCGAGTGCCCCAAAACCATCCCACCCCCTGCCCATCCCCCGCCTGCCTCCCTACTCCGTCCCCCTGCTCTGCCCCGTCCACTCACAGGACCATTCACCGCCTCCATGGCCTGCTGCAGATCGTCCAGGTGGTCCTGCAGCACCATAGCGGCCATGCCCTCTGTCCGCGCCCCGCAGCATCATCTGCATGCGATGGGGCACGAGGGCAGAGTCTTGTCCCTGCTGCCCGGCTGTCATGTCCTTGGCTGCGCTGCTCTGCATGGACCGCACCCGGGGGCTGCTGGTGTGGAGGGGGCTGCAGGGGGAGGCGGGGCTGGAGCGACAGCGAATGTGCCCATAGAGAGGGCTCTGAGTGCCACAGCTGGCATGCATGCCATAGGTTCGCCATCATTGCCCTATTTCATTTGTAATGAAATAAAATTAATCCATTTGACATACATGGTATTCATTTTTAGCTTCCTAATATTTTTCGTATTAATGCCACTGTTTGGTGCTATTAAAGTCTGAGCTCAATAATTTCATAACATCAAAACATCATAGATAACAGAGACATCAAGACAAGTTAACCTGTTACATGCAAAATTCATTTAGGCCCAATCTGTATGATAAGTTGTAGCTTAGTGGTGGTCAGTATGTGATAATTGTGGAACGCTTAAAAAAAAAAACTATCCACAATTGTGTCTATGGGCTTGAATGAATGTTTTTCTTATCTCCTATTTTATGCTGAATACTAGAGAGCACACAAATCAGATAGTTGAAAGTTATTTCATATTGGGTCACTTCTAAGATAGAATACTAATCTATATTTTTCATGCAAAATGCTATTAATGTAAGTTTTAGATTGCAGTTCCCAAATTTTTGTCATTATTGGCTCTGATAACTATTTTAGTCACAATTTGGCCCACTTCCAGAGCAAACCTAAGGCAATTATTCTATAGTTTTTGTATGCCCTCTAAATCCTTTTTTTAAAAAAAAATAGGAAAACAGTATTGTCATATGTCTAATCAATCATGCATAGATGGAGTCTTAATGCCCATGTTAAACAAGTTGCATTGTGACTTGCATTTCATTTTTTTCTTGTATACAACAGCATTTGTTTCAATACCACTCATAGAATGTTACTATCTTTCCCATGTAAATATCTAAAATATCACTTTTAGCATCCTTTAATTCAATTTTATCTCACATCATTTTAATCACTTTTGTTTTTAATTTCATTCACTCTGCTGGAAGACCCTTGTTTGGCCTTTTTCACTTCCTTCCAAAGTAATTGCTTATTTCTACCAAGGCCAATTGCAATATTTGGACTGTTGTAAATTTGTATCACTCCGCATATATAAAAAGTTTTAATGAATTTAGGAGTTACTCTTCTAGAGGGTCCTTTAGTCACTGTATGGCTTGGAAAACTTGTAAACTGACTCTCCAAGCTCTAGGTTTGTTTGTTTTTTAATGTTCATTGCTGCTGAAAGCTATACTGTTATTTTATAAACTTATAAAGTTTATTGACTTTGTGTCTTAATGGCTTACCATACCTGCTCCCTAATAGATATGAAAAATCAAATTGCAATATTTTGGATTCACCACTGACTATTTTCTTGTGTCTTCAAAACCAAAACCTATTTTCTTGTGTCTTCAAAACCAACTTAAACTTCATTTGTTTTTCTCTGAGTACCTTCTCTTGGTTAGGGCGATGTAATTGAATTTGAATCTTGACCTTCAGATGATGAAGTAGATACTGTTTTCTGAAATCAAACATTTCGAATAATGTTATAAGAGGAGGGGAAGGGGAAGCTGACGCCTGACTACAGATAATATCTGTACTCCTGTGTTCTTTTCCAGGAAGTGTAATTGCTTATATCAGCTCTTCAAGCTCTGCATCTAGCCCTGCTTCCTGTCACAGCGAAGGCTCAGACAACAGTTTTCAGTCCTCTTCTTCCCCTGTGCCACCGTCACCAAACAGTTCCTCCTCTGAGGGGAGCTGTAGTAGCAAGAGTAAAGAGCAGTCTGATAGAAGATCCTACAGTGACCAATTAGAGAATCACACTAAGGCAAATCAATCAAGTAGCATCTCAACAGCAAAAAGTCATAATGGATTTGCAAGTAAGTGCTATTAGTCTTTTACAAAATACATCACGTTTCTCAGCTCCTTTCCTTTTTCTATAACTTACAGGTTCTCCTTTTTCCTTCCCATGGTTAGCTGTTATGATTAAACTGGTACTCACTTGTTGATCATTGAAATTTTGCAAATGCTGTCTTCCAGGTGGTCTCTGGTTGAACCTTTGTTAGACATACCCATATAACATTGTAATGTAAATGAGAGACTAACAAGAGGAGGAACTTGTGACATCTGAACTGATCCTTAGATTTTCCACTTTAGGTATAAGATAGGTATATCTGAAGCTTGGCAGCAGTGGCCTGTAACCTGAAGTATTAAATCTTCAGCATTTAACCTCTGACTTCCATTCTTCTAGTTAAACTGGAGTTCTGATGCCCCAAACTGTCATATTGTCATATTCCTATTCCATAGACAGACTGGGACCAACAGGCTATGTTGTCCCATGGTCCACAATTAAATTGGAAAAAAATGAGAATTTGAGAAATGTTTACCAAGAAACCCCAGTCTGGAAATCTCCCTATTTAAAATGCATAAAGCACAGCATTTTAGAATTTAGATTTTGGAATCACCCAGGTTTGCTACTGAAAGAATATATAAGTTCAAATTGATTCATTTCTGAATCAAAGTAAAATAAGTTTATCCATGTAACATGATCGTGCACATTTTGAAGATAATTTAGGTGATTGTGATCTCATATAAGCACAAAACCTCTATTAGGTTTACACTGCTCTTAGGAGCATTTATTATGGTTAATGTTACCTTTAAAACTGGTAGCCTTGTACAGAAGCTTGAAAAACAAGGAACTAATTTAAAACATAGCAGAAGAGTACTGCACTTGCACCAGACCCAAAACATTTCTTCTGAATCATTTACCAAGTGTGCACAAAACATGAGACTATTTCAAAGTATCTTATTTGCTTGTCTGCAGATTCTTAAGCTTCCAGTAACTGGTGACTACTGCACTTAATTTCTGTACTTCTTAGCTTGGAGAGACCAGCCTTTGAATCTGGAACTTCTTAGGATTGCTGCACATTTGTTCTGGAATTGCACATTCTCTCCCACCCTAATAAAGCTTTTATTAGATACAGTTAGTCCTAGCTTACTGATTGCCTTGTATGGTGATCATTTGAAATTAAGAGTTGAAAAAAAAAGTTTTGCAACCAATCCTCACATTTATGCCACCACATCTATCTGTGGTCACTTGATCACCATTCAGGCACTTTGCAAGTGCCACACATTTACGATTATTGTAGCTCTTGCAGTGATTGCCATTTACAAGTTTCACAATCAATGGAGAACCTGGAAGTAACATTGCAAGATATGATCACATGGAGTGGCACTTGATAGCACTAAATTGATTCACTTAATTAAGTGATTGACTTTATGAGGCAAGCAGAAGTGTTATACGTTTGGTGCGGTCATATGATTTTCCACTTGGAGTTATTGCCAGTCCAGTTGTAGTTGATAAGCCAGGAACATCCCACTATATCAGCACAAAACTCAAACAAGAATACTTCAGTACAATATTTTTATGACTATCGGGTTTCAACTTCTGAAATGTTAAAACATGTATTATATTTTATTATTTATTAATTTAAAACAATTATATAGCCGCCAATCCTATAACCAATTCATTATTAGGGGTGTCAGGAGTATTAGGGAAAACATTACATTTAAACACTTCTTTTCCTATCTAAGAGTATTTGAATATCCTTTATACAAATCACTTAAATGAATATCTCTGTTTTTTCTGATTATTTAAGTATTGCCAACTTTAATAATAACTTATTAATTTAATACTTTTTGCACTGTTCCTAATATTGTAATCTCAGAGAACAATTTTAGTTGGTTTATTACTCAGATAATTAAATTCCATGATCAAAAGTGGAATTGTTGATTCCCTGACCTTTGTTACTTGGAACCTGTTTGCAACATGTTAATAAGTTAATGATATTTCATCAATTCATAAGTCATCATTGGGTAGCATTTTCATTTTTTTTTACCCCATCACCTGCTGAAACATTTGTGTTTACTTGATAAACCTACTGCCTTGTTTCTGAACAAAAGAAATTTTCAGATGGCATTTAAATCTAATAAATTTGTGCTATTATTGTAGATGATACGGGGTAACATTTCATTTATGTAGAGCAGATGTATCAGTTTTTATTTATCCTAAACAATGTTATTTTTATACAGTCAGTATTAGTTAATAATTAACAGACTTAACAGCAAAACACTTTTACATCTTAAAATTTTGGATGCAATTTGGAGAGCACCTTTGGCAATAGGATTTATTTCAAAGGCAATCTGCCCAGATTTCCTAGAGTGCTTTTTTCTAGATTTACACAACATTATATTTTAAACACTATACAGCTTAATCTTTTGTCGACTCCTATATTAAAATATTTTTCTAATTCTTTGAGACATATGTAATAATGACCCGAGAAGGCAGGTGTACAGAATTATATTCCTTTACATTACATTACATAACAAATCAAATCTATCCGTGCTTCATTTTCCATGTTACTACTGTTTTCATACCGTTGCATTTTTAGAATTTAATGGCATGGTCTTGCTGTGTAAAGTCTGTGGAGATGTTGCTTCAGGATTTCACTATGGGGTCCATGCCTGTGAAGGCTGCAAGGTAATTTTTCTAATATAAATGGCTTAAGAATAAATATAAATTTAGGAATGAGTATAATTGTTGCTGACTATCTGAAATATGTTTTATTTGCTATATATTTTATTTGCTAAATTGCCACATTTAAAATATTTTCATTTTCTTCTAAATAAGTATAATCAGCAAGGCTAAAGGTAATATTCTTTCAAGTTTTACATGAATATTTTGTGTGTATTTTATTCTATTGTTTTTAATCACAACACAATTTCATAAGCCTTATTTAATTTGAAAATTAAACATACAAGATTGTATTCATATTATATAATTGGAAGCTTGTTCGCAAAAAAAAAAAAAACCCAACTAAAAACCCATTGCTTATTTTTTCAGGGTTTTTTTAGAAGAAGCATTCAGCAAAATATCCAATATAAGAAGTGCCTGAAGAGTAACAACTGCTGTGTAATGAGAATGAATAGAAACAGGTGTCAGCAGTGCCGATTCAAAAAATGCTTGTCGGTAGGAATGTCAAGAGATGGTATGTTTCTATATTGAGCAGTGACCTTCAAAAGGTGAATTGTTGTACGTTTTGTGTTTAATTCAAATGGAAGTTTTATAAAAATGGTGATAAAGTAGAGGTTAACATTGTGCTCTGCTTCCAATTGCACCGTAACCACAAAGTCACAAGTATGGAAATGATGCTAGAACATGAAATGTGTTCCTACAAGAACTTGTAATCCCAGTGAGCATTTGTGAATACTTACAACAGTTTGTTTAATGACTGTTCAAAGTTACAATAACAGTGAAAAAAATGACTTACGACCATTTTTTACACATACAACCATTGTGATGTCCTTATGGATCAAAATCCAGACATTTGGCAACTGGTTCATATTTATAATGGTTGCAGCATCCCGGAATCATATGATCACCTTTTGTGAAGTTCTGACAAGCAAAGTCAATGGGGAAGTCAGATTCATTTTACAACTGTGTGACTTAACAACTGCAGTGATTCATTTAGCAACTGTGATTGTAAAGATCACAGTTGTAAAGATCATAAAATGGAGCAAAATTCATTTAACAACTTACTTAGCAACAGAAATTTTGGACTCGGTGTGGTTGTAAATCTACCTGTAAAAGTAACGAGCTTGTATTTGTGGCATCAACAGAATTCCCTCCATGATGGAGGGAATAAGCAGTATGCAAGGCCGTATTCACAAAGGGCTCTAAACCATGTTTGTGAAGGGAATAATTACATCTTCAACTATACAAGGCAGTATGGGCTGTCAGGATCCCTTATATGTTTTTACATGTGAGATACATGGCCATCCACTTCTATGATTTTAAACTAATGAAAAAAAATCTGTCCAATTCATAAATCTAGGACTAAGTGTTGCATCTCCAAACACATTTTATATGTATCTTAATGTGTTGTAGTGTACAATAAAGCCACTTCCAATGTAATATAAAAAGGCTAAGACATTTCAATATAGTATATTGATTAAAGAAAACAGCAAATGAAAGTCACTAATAGTTATAGTCTTTACTTAGTTAATTCATCACAAAATGTATAAGGGATCTTAATCATTAAGGAAAAATATAGGAGATTTTTTTAGACTTTATCACAGGCTCTTGACTTTACTATTTATCAATCACTGGAAACAATGCAAATTTCCAAACAGAATTTTCTAAGAGGATAATTTTCAAGGAAGAATATTCAAACTCACTAGTACTTTGGCTAACTTTATTAGATATTTTTCCTGAAATATATATACTTCCAATTTAGGCTGAGCCATAAGAAAATTAGCCTGGGATCTGGTAAATTAGTTAGGTTAACCTAGATCTGTCTTTTTGGTTTTTTTAGAGCAACGTTGCTCAAATATGATTACTTTTTACAATGTGTGAACTTCAACTCTCAAAATTCCCTAGCTAGCCAATTTTGGGGATTGAAGTCTATACATCTTAAAGTTGCCAAGTTTGAGGAATACTGATTTAGAGGAATGATCTAGTACAGGGCTGTCAAACTACTGGCCCATTGGCCAGTTGCATTATACAGAGGCTGCGCACACCCCAGCTCCAGCAATGCAAAAAAAGTTGCGATACATTGCAACACATCCCGTGACACAGCGAGTTTGACACCTGTGATCTAGTAAATGGGAAGCATCATACCATTGTTAATTAATCATGGCATGGTAACTTAACTTGATTAATTGAATCAAGGAGATACTATTCTAAACTAAACACATTGGCTGGTTTGCATCATATATGGAATCACAAAGTAACTAGTATTTTAGCTAAATTGGTTGTGCAAGACCAGCAAATTAAGGAACTAAAAAAATTATAGGGCAAATACATTTGCAATCTTATAGTTAGTCTAATAGGCTTTCCAATATTACTTTGTCTATGTCTGCCTTTTTTGGATATCATCATTGCACACAGACTGGTTTTCAGTTCTCTTAAGCCAAAGTATCTCAGTACAGCCAGTCTGTCACTTTCGGATAAATTTTGGTTATTCTTAGAATTTTTAGTAAATATAATCACAATACTTTCCAAACTGTGAGTGGCCCTGGTTACTACATTTTGCCTGTTTTCATTCCAAGGTGTGTACTCCAAGATGTATCTTTCTGCTCTTTTTCTCCTTAGTCATGAAAACAGTGCTTACATTCCTGCCTGCATTGTTGAGAAGAAAAATTGCTTATCTATTCTTATTTTATAAATTATTTCAATGCTTTATTAATAACACAGCTTTCTGGACAACATAAGCTATATTAATAAAAGAAAATAACATGAGAATAAAGTACAAAAATAATATAGGAAAAGGAAAGAGAGAATATTTATAAAAGTCAGCATCTTTTCCAATAGCCCTTTCTGTCCAGAAGCAGCATAAATGTACAATTTGCTTTTAGAAGGAAAAAGAATTATAAAAATTTGACTCATTCTCTTTATTACAATTGAAAACGCTGTGTGGGCTGTGTATAAATTCTCTTCCATGTGGTATTTCAGATTTGAGAAGAATGCATCTTCAGAATTTAAGTGTCCCAGAAATAGCTGAGTAGTCTTTTGGTCCTTGTTCACAATTTTGATGTCAAATAGATTCTGTGTTTAATCAATAGTATGATTTCTTAAGGAAGAATGCATGCTTATTAGAATTTGATATAATGTAAAACTAAAGGCTCTGTCTGTCTTCCTTATAGCTGTTCGATTTGGCCGAATTCCTAAACGGGAGAAGCAGAGGATGCTAATTGAAATGCAAAGTGCCATGAAAACTGTGATGAATACGCAACTCAGTGATCACTTGCCCACTGAAGCATTAAAAGATAGCCAAGAAGCATTGCTCTTAGTGCCTCAGGAACAGCTGAACTCCAAACTACAGCAAGAAGAAGAAACTGTCAAAAGGCTCTCTTCTCCTTCTCCCCTTCCTCCTCCACTATGTCCTGCTCTTCCTCTACCCTCTGATATTGTCAAGGAAGAAGTGATTGGCATGGTAACTAGTGCCCACAAAGATACATTTATGTACAATCAGGAACAACCAGAAGATCATATCACTGTTTTGCAGCATCCGAATAGGGAGAAAAATCTTAAATACTTGGCCCAGTTCAATTCTGGTGGTGAAATTGATCATGGTAGCATAAGCAGTGTGCTTCAAAATGGGAATGTTAAACATTTCAATGAAGAGTATAAAGGGCAAAACAATATGCACTATCCAAGTGGGTATAATCTTTGCTTCCATTCTATGAACTTCGCCAATGGCTTTACCACAAAAGGGTATAATACAATGCTCGAAAATGGATTTTCTTCCATTGAAACTCTGAATGTGTATTCCTGCAGCACTGGAGGCAGAATGCATCTGGTATTACAATTATTAAATACTGTTCTTTAGTTGTCATAAGCTTAAATTAGTCACGTAGTCCTGGGAACAATAAGGTGGTAGAGTGTACAGGTAGTCTTCTATATACAACCAGTCCCTTAGCGACTGTTTGAAGTTACAACATCTCCCGCAATAATTTGCCTTTATGACTGATCACAAGGACACTGCCGTGTCGACTCCCTCCACTCTTCCCCCCTGGCCTTATGCCTACTTCCCACCCCATATCTGCCACTGATTGCATCACTCTACTCCTCAGAGTTGCCAGACCACTTGGCTTCACCATAGAAGCAGGCACTATTTTCTGAGCAGCCATAATAAAACAGTCCCCTAATCACCCCTGCAAGTGGCTTTCCTCACACTGAGTGGCAGCAGTTGCCCCAGATTTTGCTGGGGTTGGGTTAACCCCCTGCCTGAACCTCTCAGGGCCCAGATCCCTCCTATCTGCAGTAGCCAGGAACTTCATCCCATTATCCAAGGGGCTACTAGTTCAAAAGAAAGATAAAAATCTGCCAGAGTCTATATGGGGCAGAAAGAGCTTTAAGAAAGGAAAGGTGGAAGACACATTCACATTGTGAATGTCTTGCAATGTCTGAAGGAAGGCACATCTCTCTCTGTGTGTGTATGTGTGTGTGCTGCTCCCTCAAGCTTTGATCCTCTCCTTCCATTAAAGAAGGGAACAAGAGTTTTTAGAAGTTCTCTTCCAAAGAAAAGGTCTAAATGCCTGGGAGACTCCAAGGACATGAAGCAGCCACCTTCTTCACAAAGTCCTGAACATCTGGGATTCTTCAGCCCAGCCTTCTTGACTTGAATTGCTTTGCATGCCAAGTAAACTTCGCCATTTCCTTTTCCCCATGAGGTCATCCAGCCTGGCCCTTTAAGAAAAGGAAGATAAAACTGCTAAAACCAGCCCTCAGCTCTAGCATCTTAAAATGCCCCTTTTCTCGTGCTCTTGGACAGGGTTGGCACATTGCTGCTGGCTTCATAGAGAATAAAAGCTGCCTACCCTTTTCTAAAGCTCTTCTCTGAATGTGGCTCCTAAGCACAATAGTTATAAGACATTTCAGCTTGACTTGCATGGGTTAAAACAATCAAGCACAATTCACAATTCCTAGCAGAGATTGGCTTCAAATGGAAGAAGCTGTTTCCATTGAAATGGAAGTAACCAGGCCCAGAGAAGAGTTTGCAGAAAAGAAGAAAACCATGCTAAACTTCTGCTTTTTGAATCAGGGCTTTGGGCGGTTGCATTGTTTTTGCAGAGCCTTAAAAGGGGAGGGCAGCTCTTTTTTTCTCTGTCTCTATGAAACCAGCTCCAGTGGTTATTATGTGAACTCTACAATCCTTAAGCAGATCCATTTTAGCCAATCCCTCTTTTGCTGGAAACTGGAAGTGAATATCCATTCCTAGCACACACACACACACACACACAAAAAGACATGTGAGTCTGGGACACTGCAAACAGCCATCAGTGCTAGCCAGTTGCTAAATGTCCAAAATGTGACCGGGTAAATGGAGGGGGAGGTGTCATTAGAATTTCAAATCTTTATCATAACTACCTTTTTGGGGATTCCTCATAAATCCAAACAGTTGCTAAGTGATCAGTTGTAGTTTGAGGACTCCCTGTAGTTGGAATATTAACACAGTGACACATATGTGAAGATGCTTTAGGATGGACGAATACCTTCCCTCATATGTGCTTTTTTAAAACAAATCTATGAATTCAATTGGGGGGGGGGAATAAATGTTAACTAATTACTAATTGTAGTGTGACTTTGTGAAAGTATATGTCAGTTAAGCAAACCAACTGAATAGTAATTACTCCGATAGCAATTTCACTTGAAGCTGAGAGTACATTCTCTGATTCTTTTACATTATTTGTGCTGTATTTTTCAAATGGCATAGAAATTAAGAGAAGAAATGTGCATGCAAGTGATTCAAACATTTTAAGCCTTAACAGTTTTTTATGTCTTAAAGTGAAGTGAAAAAAATTTAAGATTACAGTAATGTATTTACAGTCACAAGGTCATATAATTTGTTCTGGTTAGTCAATAGGCTTGTAATTGCCTACCAATTGCACTAGATGGAAATAAAATTATCACAGCCATTCAAAAATTGTAATGCAAAGATGCTCTGCAAATGTAGGTTTGCAAGTATAAAATATCGTGGGAAATGGATTTTAAAGTAGCTGCTCATACTTAAATTTCTTTTCTAAGAAAGATTTTATTTTGCAGTTGGCAAGAAGAAACTCTTAATTTTAATTAGACTCTAATATTTTTGAAACATACTTGCTAGCATTTTTAATTATGAACTGTTTTAATTATAAATAATTGTGTTATATTTGAAGACATTGCCTGTTATGTCCTGGGCCGGCAGGCACAGGCTGCAGTGATTGGCCCAGGCAGACCGTGTGCATGCCCAGGACAAGAAAGGCTGCTCCCAGCCTTGCGCGCACACGCACGGCGGGAAAAGATCCTTTGAAATGATTGGCCAGAAAGGTATTGTGCTGGGGGGCTATAAAAGGGGGCCACACCATTTTAAAATCAGTTCTGTTGGTGTTTGCAATAAAGGAGAACTATTGGAACTTGTTGCTTCGTCTTGATGCTTCTTCTTCTGAAACAGAACATTGGCGACGAAGGAGGGATGCCTGCAAGGCAAACAGAGTAAGAAGCCAAGCTGACTCGCCACAGGGGGCTTGCAGCTCGGAGAAGTGTGGCGCCTGGAGATCGACTGAGCCTGGCAGCACAGAAACGCTGGAGGTGAGCTCAGAAAAGGGGGCCCCTTCTCAATCCTTACAGCAGGAGGCGTGGACGAAGTTCCTGGGCTGAAATGCTGGCAAAGATAGGCCGGCTTTCAGAATTTGACACAGCTCACCCAGAATGCTGGAGCTCGTACATGGCCCAGGTGGAGAACTACCTCCAGGTGAATCAAATTCACGAAGATGACCTCAAAGCTGCCATGCTGCTGTATGTGTGTAGGCAAGAAACCTTAGAGATTGCAGAGAATCTGGTCACCCAGCACCACTGGAATCAATCACCTACACAGACTTGAAGAGGATGTTTGAGAGCATTTCAAACCCAAGCTCTCAGTGATTGCCTGGCAACACGCGTTTGAGCAGAGGGACCAGAGGCCTGGTGAGTCTGCAGCAGAGTTTGTTGTGGCCTTACAGTAAGCAGCTAGGCCCTGTGAATTCAAAGACTTGGAGGAGAAACTGAGGGATCGTCTGGTCTGTGGCCTGCAAAGCCAGGAGTTGCAGCAGAAGCTCTTCGCGAAGAAAGGCCTCACGTTCCAAGATGCCCTGAGGGAAGTTTCAACCGAAGCAGCAGCAGGCGGAGCTGTGAAGGCCTTGTCGCTCGCCAAGCCCCCTCAAGTTCCAGCCACCGTCCATCAAGAGGTCATTCACGAAGAATCCGAACAGGATCCAGAATCGGAAGTGGACCGGCTGCATCAGACTCCAGGGAGAAGACCTCATGGAGGGAAGGCCCAGCCAGTGTCATCCCCTCGGTGCATCGGGTGTGGAGGCCGCCATCGCCACGCAGACTGCTGTTTCCGCTCCGCCATCTGCAGGGCCTGTGGGAAGCAAGGCCACATTGCCTCCGTCTGTTTGGGTTGCCAGAAGGAACGTTACCCAGAAGAATTGCCTCAGGAAGGTACCAGGGTCCCCAGCCAGAATAGGGTGGGCTTCTGCGTATCACATACGAGCATTTTTAGAATGGGGGTCCATAGGCCACTTAGGAAGAAGCTTCACATTGACGTGAAGTTGCAAGGGGTCCCCTTGTCGATGGAGCTGGACACTGGGTCTGCTCTATCGATCATCTCCCCAGACACCTTTAACAAGGTCTGCAGCAGAAGCAGCCTACGGGTTAAACTCAGGCCGTCAACCCTCATCCTCACAGATTTCCAAAATTCCAGAGTCAACGTGAGGGGGGAGGCCACGCTCAAGATACAGTGTAGGAATTTTGAGGGGCTACTGGATGTAGTTGTGGTTGGGGGAGACCGCACAAGACTCATTGGACTCAACTGGTTTGAGGCCCTGGGAATTCAGGTGACTGGAATACACGGCGTGCAAACAACAGGCCTGGCTGGGGTCTGCAAGGAGTTTGCAGATGTGTTTAGTCCAGAACTTGGCTCCTACAAAGGCCCTCCTATTTCTCTGAGGCTAGACCCAGCCATAACCCCCATTAGAATCAAGCCACGCAGGGTACCCTTTGCCTTAAAGGGTAAAATAGATGCAGAGCTGAATAAACTGATTCAGCAGGGTATCTTAGAGCCTGTGGACAGTAGTCCATGGGAAATGCCTATAGTTACACCACTGAAGGCCAATGGTGAAGTCTGAATCTGTGCAGATTACAAGTGCACGCTTAACAAAGCGCTGCAGCAGCATTCGTACCCACTACCGGTGGTCAGCCACATTCTAGTCTCCCTCAAGGGGGGCCAGATCTTTGCTAAGCTTGACCTGGCTTAGGCCTATCAACAATTGCCAGTTGATGAGGAAGCGGCTGAGGCCCAAACTATAGTGACTCACGGGGGCATTCAAGGTAAAAAGATTGCAATTTGGAGTAAACGTGGCCCCTGGCATCTTCCAGAATGTAATGGAGCGAACGCTCTGAAATATCTCTGGTGTTTGCCTGTACTTTGACAATGTCCTCATCGCTGGGGACTCAGCTGACAATTTAGCTGAAAGGCTGAGAGCTGTTTTGCTACGTTTCTGCCAAGCAGGGCTGAAGCTTAAGCAAGACAAGTGCAAGATTGGGGTTACCTCCACAGAGTTTCTAGGATTCTGCATTGATGCTCAGGGCATCCACCCTGCTGAATCCAAGCTGCAAGCAATTCAGCAGGCCCCAAGTCCCAAATCCAAGGGCGAACTTCAGGCCTTTCTGGGTCTGCTAAATTTTTACCACTCATTCCTTCCTCACAAGGTTGCGGTGGCTGAGCCGTTACACCGGCTCTTGGACAAACAGGCTCCTTGGCAGTGGACACAAGCACATGAAAAGAAAAGAGGTCAAGGCCTTGCTCTCTTCAAATATGGTCCTAGCGTACTTCAATGAGAACTTGCTGGTGTGCATCACCTGTGATGCGTCCCCTTATGGGATTGGGGCTGTGTTAAGTCACTTGAAGGCTGATGGAATGCAAGTCCCAATAGCATACTACTCTAGAACCCTATCATCAGCTAAATGCAATTGTGCACAGATAGATAGGGAAGCCTTAGCCATAGTGGCTGGCATAAAGAAGTTCCATGACTTCGTATATGGCTGCCACTTCACGGTCTTTACAGACCATAACCTGGGGTTGTTCACAATGAACAAACAAATCCCACATATAATATCCCCACGAATGCTGAGGTGGTCTATCTTCCTGTCTGCATATGACCATAACTGCTTCACAAGCCAGGCAAAGAAATGGGCCATGCAGTTGGTCTCAGCAGGTTGCCATTACAGCAGATAGAGGCAGATCCAGCACCTGCCAACCGCATCCTGTCTATTCAGGACTTGCCTGAATCTCCCCTCAGTGCTAGGGACGTGGCTGCAGAAACAGCCACCGATCACACACTAACACGCATGCTGACCTGGGCATTGTCTGGATGGCCTGACACATGTCCAGGCTCAGAATTCCAGAGCTTCTGGCAGAGGAAGTACGAGATTTCTACCTTCAAGGGATGTGTCCTATGGGGTAGCCAGATAGTAATCCCACCTCACTGAGGACTACAGTCCTGCAGTCTTTGCATGAGGGACATTCAGGAATAGTCCAGATGAAGGCATTAGCGCGCAGCCATCTTTGGTGGCCTGGGCTCGACAAAGATATCGAGACCCAGGTCCACAGGTGCACTGTTTGTCAACAATCAAGGCCGGAGATGACCCAGGCCGCAGTTCATAGATGGGAGGAGACTCATACCCCATGGTTGAGGGTCCATAAAGACTATGCTGGGCCCTTTCAGGGGCAATTCTTCTTAATCCTTGTGGACAGCCATTCCAAGTGGCTAGAGGTCATGCCTGTCTCCTCCACTACCACTGCTAGGACCATCCAGGTGCTGAGAGGGATCTTCACCACACATGGACTTCCAGATGTCCTTGTCTCCAACAACGAGGCCCAATTCACATCATTTGAGTTCAAGGAGTTTCTCCAGGCCAACATGATCCGCATACCACATCTGCACCATTCCATCCAGCTTCCAACGGCCAGGCTGAATGGATGGTGTGTACAACCAAGGATGCCTAAAAGAGGATCACTCACAGGAACTGGCATCACAGGCTAGCGGACTTTCTTCTTTGCCACTGCACCACACCTTGCACAGCTACTGGAAAGAGCCCAGCTGAACTCCACTGGGGTCATCACCTCATCACGAAACTGGACAGATTGCACCCAGACTGGGTGGCTTCACAGGTGTCACAGCCATGGGCACCTAGGAGACGACAAGTGGGCGATCCGGTCAGGGCAAGGAACTATGGACCAGAACATTTCTGGGTCACAGCAGTGGTATGCAAGGTCTCTGGGCTGCTGTCATATGAAGTGGCCTTGAACGAGGGTCGTGTGATCCAACGTCATATTGACCAACTGTGCTGGAGACTTCCCAGCAACTCTTCCGCTCCTGGCTCTGCTGTTGGGGGGAAGGAGGTCCACAATTAAGATTGTGGACCATGTTCTCTCCAACATCCCCAGGCTTCAGCTATTGCTCCAAACAGGGAGTCTGCAGAAAGGAGGTTTACATGGAGGGGGCTCCAGTCTCTGGCACCTCTGGCACATACACGGGGCCATGGGGTATTGGGGCACATCAGCCACTCAGGCCACTCCAGCTGCTGGTCTAGGGCTCGAGGGACAGTGCTCCCAAGAGGAGTCCATTGTGGACTTGGGGACACCACCATTGGATTTGGGGAATTCCACCCCCCCAAGGAACCCTGTTTTGGATTTAGCGGATCCAGGCAGTCAGCAGCTGGGTGGATCCCCTGGATCCTTGGGGCAACAAAGTTCTGGTCTCCCTAGCCTGGCAGGCAAGCTGGCAGGCCAGGCACACACACCGGCCATGAGAAGATCAGGGCGGGCCAGAGGTCTTCACAAATACTTACAAGACTATGTACGGTCCTTGTCAGTTCATAGGCAGGCCTAGTAGTCTGGGTTAAGTAATGCAGCTCAAGAGGAGCGGGGAGCATGGGTGTAGCAAGACTGTAGTGTTGTGTATGTGTATAGATGCAACGTAAGCAATATAATGGAGTGTTGAGGTATTTAAAATAATAAGTGTGCCTTATTATTTTAGCCAAGGGGGGAGGGGTGTTATGTCCTGGGCTGGCAGGCGCAGGCTGCAGCGATTGGCCCAGGCAGACCATGTGGATGCCTGCGACAAGAAAGGTTGCTCCCAGTCTTGTGCGCGTGCGCATGGCAGGAAAAGATCCTTTGAAATGATTGGCCAGAAAGGTATTGTGCAGGAGGGCTATAAAAGGGGGCAGCACCATTTTAAAATCGGTTCTGTTGGTGTTTGCAATAAAGGAGAACTGTTGGAACTTGTTGCTTCGTCTCAATGCCTCTTCTTCTGAAACAGAACGTTGCCAGTTTCATAGTTTTTGAAAAGGAGGGTGTTCAGAATAGCATTTTGATTCTATATATGTTTAAATATCCAGGTTTGCCCAATGAACAAGACTCCTTTTGTGGATCCAAATAAGTCTGGTCAGGAAGTCTGGGAAGAATTTTCTATGAGCTTTACCCCCGCAGTAAAGGAAGTAGTGGAATTTGCCAAGCGTGTTCCAGGTTTCCAAGATCTTTCCCAACATGACCAAGTAAATCTTCTGAAGGCTGGGACCTTTGAGGTGAACATTTCCTTTTTGTTTCTTCTTTTTCCATCAATCAAAACTGATAAAATGAGTGCAGTTACTTTGGTACACTTGGCATATATCTGCTGTAGTTATTGGGGAAATGTGGCAAAATTTGCCCCTTTATGTAATTACAGATTGTATGTTTTACTTGGAAGTTTCATCCTGTCTCCTCACTCATTTTGAAAAGCGCTCACCTTTTTTTGCTGTACCCAAATTCTCTGTGTGATATCTGCCAAGTGGGCTTCCCCGGTTGGTGATATCTATTGCCTAAAGCACAGGTGGGGAACTATGGCTCTTTTATGACTTTTATGACCATGCTGAGCCATACTGGCTCAGGAATTCTAGAATTGAAGTCCACAAGTCATAAAGGGGCCATAATTCCCCTCCTCTAGTCTAAAGAGACCCACACCTCTGTCTGCAATTGAAATCCAATGCTTCCTGACTATATTCAGTCTTGCCTTTTAGAAAGAGTCACACTGAACACGAGAAAACTTTATTTAAGAAGTGCCAATTATTATCTTGTTTTGCCTCATCTTTCCTTTTCTGAGGAAAGAGATTGCTTTTGAGCTCTGTTACTTAAAAAAAGTTTTAAATATTGGTGCTAAATAACATTCTCCATCCCTTTCAAGGCTGTATGGAATGGAGATCAGCTTACACGAGTGTTTTTGACTGCCCCCCTGTTGAATGCCTCTCACTTCAACAATAATAAAATACAGTTTTAGAAAATGTAGCATTTTAATTCAGAACCATTTTCATATCCTCAATATAACAGCCACTTTTTGTGAGATGGGCAGCCATATAAATTTGATAAATAAATAATATGCCAATAAAAATATCAAAGCCAAGTGAGGATGTCTCCATAACTCCAAACTCTAAATATTTTTTTTACATATAACCTGGCCTGTTTCTAAATTATATAAATAGTTGCTGGGATTTTTTTTAAAAGCTTTGGATTAATCATGTCTTCAGTAAATTGTAAGAAAGCCTTTTTAAACAAACAAACAGAGGATATAAATTATATAGGACAATAATCATTTTGTGTGTGGATTATTTTAGAATTAAATCTTCAGGATATATTTCACTACTTCATTGCTAATAGTTGGGTAGAAGAGAACCAGGATATTAAAGGTCTGGGAAGTAAAATCCCAGAAGGCAGTAGTTTAGATCACTTCCCTTTAATTTTAAGACAAGTCACCAAGAATTGACCTTGGCTCAGAGAAGACTTTTATCTTCAATTTTATGAGCTGTCAAACTTTGAAGATTCTATATGAACTGAGTATAGATTTACATGCTAGCTTTTCTCCCTAAATTTTCTTTTGACTAGGTACTAATGGTACGGTTTGCATCCCTATTTGATGCAAAAGATCGTACTGTCACTTTTCTTAGTGGAAAGAAGTATAGTTTGGATGATCTACGTACCATGGGAGCTGGTGATCTGCTGAACTCCATGTTTGAGTTTAGTGAAAAGCTAAATGCACTGAACCTTAGTGATGAAGAAATGAGTTTGTTTACAGCGGTGGTCCTGGTATCTGCTGGTAAGAAAACAAAATGAACCTTTATATGTAGCAAAAAATAACATATCCTTTGTCTTTTCATAATATATGAAATCTGGTTTGGGGGTTGGATTCCCGTTCTCTCCCTCCCCTGGATTTCTTCACACTGTTTAACAAATAAGATTATATATGAAAATTATCTTATAGTATTTGTTGGAGGTGCCTTATTAATGGTTCTGTCTTTGTTCTTTTTATACAGTTGGTTTGCATGAAAAGGAATGAGAGGCAGATTTTTTTCAGCAGTAGTTACATTTGGGACTGTTTTGGGGGTTAGCAAAGAGCACCCATGCTGCTATTTTTTAGTAATGATGCAATATTTCTACTTTATTAGGTATGCATTGCTATTTTTCAGCTGCTTTTACATATGTAAGATTTTTGGGAAGATTTTTTTGAGCTCATTTTTAGTTCCATATTCTTTCTCTTGTGAACTTCTAAAGACAATATACTATTGAATTTTAAAATAAAATATATCCTGTGGGGCAGGGAGATTACACTGTTTGCATGTTCTGATCCATATTGGAATAGGAATATTGCAATAGGAAATGTAATTTTGAATTGTCATGCAGTCTGATCTATGATGATTAGTTTTAGTTACTGAAGTGCAACACAGGTAAAATAAACAATGTCCTTGGTAGGTGCAAAAATATTTTTTCTTAGTCCACTTACCATGAATTCTTTACCATGCAAAGGAATGTAATTTTTCATTGTGGAATAAATCATAAAAATAATATAGGAGGGGAGTGGACAGCCTAACACATGCCCTCTTACTCTTCTGGGTGGCAAGGAAGAGTATTCTGAAGTCACACTCACTCAAATAAACACCCTAGAAAATTTTAATTTATTAAGACTCTTCCATCTTACATTCCTGATTATGTTAGGATCCTTACCTAGAAGGAATCCACGCATTCCTCTTAGCTGTACACTCTAGCCACACAATTCTTTTCCACAATAGAATAGAGTCAGAACCTTGTTTCACTTTACTGCAACTCTGATCTCTGAGATGTTCTAATATGTGTGTATTTGTTACTCTGCTCAAAAAGACAAGTAAAGATTCCTCTACAGTACATATCCAAGCTATTGGATCACAAGTTCAATTGTCATTATCTCCAGAATGTATTTGCCTACCTTAGGTACCCCTCCATCCTTCATTATAAATTAAGGACCTAAGATGAACGTGTTAATTTATATAGGCCTTGATCTATAGCAGTTGTGATTTACCTACTTTGAATATCATTTACTAACTTGAATGCTTTGATGAATACCTCAATACTTTGCAGAAGTTTATACAGTGTATGTTGCAAACCAATAACTGTCTCCTTCCCATTGTTTATCTTTCATTTAGAACGATCAGGAATAGAGAATGTTAATTCTGTGGAAGCACTGCAAGAAACACTGATCCGTGCACTCAGGACTTTGATCACAAAAAACCATCCAAATGAAGCCTCTATATTTACAAAACTACTTTTGAAACTGCCTGACCTGCGTTCCTTAAATAACATGCACTCTGAAGAACTTCTAGCCTTTAAAGTTCATTCATAGGCTTTCAGTTCTTACTTATATACTTGATTTACCTAAAATTGATTGTTTTTATTTTGTGCTAAAATATTTGTTTATAATTGTACATGTTTCTGTGAAGGATTTGCATAATAGTGGCATGACCTCTTACATGTAGTAAATGCGTCAGGTTGAACCTTATTTCATCGCTGACAAAATGGCCACAGATTTCTTCTTGATTATTCAAAACTGCCCCACTTGCACACTAAATGTTATAGATGCTGACCTCTTTGTCTTTACAGAAAAGATCATTTAATTATGCTAAAGAAGAATACACAGCGGCTACAAATGGAAAGCAGCACTTTAACTAAATGAAGCAAGACTATATTGGTCCAACTCATCCTTAAGTAGATATCTTGCTATATGAGACACTTTTAAAAACTGTTTCTGATTTCACTATGAATAGTTTATAAAAGAATCAGTTTAGTATAAAACTATACATTCAGCTTTGTACGTATTTATATGTGCATATGCACGCACACACACATATAATATGAACAGAGATGGCTGTATTATTACTTTATAAACTTCATGTACGTACATAATTATATAAGTATGTAAATATAAATAAACTTCACAATATTTTCAGCTGTGAAGAAGTTAAAGGATTACCCATATGAATGCATTTGATTCTGTACAGTTGAAGTAAGTATATTAAGAGTTTAGAGATTCCCAAGTTCTGGTTTGCCGACGCAGCCGCTGTGGACACTTGGAAGATGACTCCATCTTCCACATCCGATTTTCCTTTGCTGGGGGACCCTGGGAAGGGTCAAAAGTCTCCCTGTAGGGCCAACGAGCAAGGAGAAGACCCCCACTTGACCACAGAAGGGCGGCAGCCCTCCCGCTCAATCTGGGGCAGTCCTCCAAACTAGCAGAGAAAAGACCGGCCATAGCAATATGGCTCGTCATTAGGCTGCAGACAGCTAAGTCAAATCTACTATCGAGCACTCTGAAAGCAACGTGGATGAAACTGGGTGAGATTTGATCTTCTCTTTACCCCAAGTACCTTCTTTCCTGTAAAGCTAGCTTGAAGTATCTTCCCCCTTTGAGGAGAGAGGGAAGGGAAATTCTATCCCACCCTCTAAGAATAGCAGCGTCTGACTATCCAGGGGAATCAAAGCATTAAAAAGAACAACTTTAATCTAATTGGATTTATATGTTTCTGAAACTTGGTGACTAAAAATTTTCCTATTTATATTGGAGACATTTGTTTTTATCTACAAAAAAGAAATAAAATTGGAAAAAGAATTGGAAAAATTTGGGACTTAAAAAACTCTAGATGGCATTGGTGACATCTTGTGGTGAAGCTTGGTATTGCAATTTGTTATTTCCTAAAAAGAGACTTGGCTCAAAGCCCAGACCTAGATAAGACTTTCCTGACCTTGGAACCATCTGTGAGAAGATTTAGCTGTAAGAAAACAGCTGGGTAGCAGAATTGGTCCACTTGAACTGTGACTGTAAACTTTTACTGTCTTTTGCTTAATAAATAACTTTTACTAGAAAGATTATTTACAAATAAGTGAAAGATGAATGAAGACCAGGAAAAGATTCTTTCTATGTTAAAAGCAATACATGAAAGCATTCTTGCAGCTTGTGATAAAATAATACCTAAAATAAAAGATCAAGATGCCAGCTTAGATGCACAAAGCCAAATTTTGACTACAACTAAAGAACCAACAATGCAGAAGATAACAGAAGAAGCGGGACAACCAAATATGGAGACAGAGGACCCAATTGATCATCAAATATACCTGATGGAAAGTCCAGAAAGGGAAGTGACAACATTGAAAATGGAAATGACTTTCTATATAAATCAGAAGAAATTTGAGAAAGAAGTGGAACAGATTGAATTAAAGACAAATATATTAGAGCGAAACTGGGGAACTGGAATAACAGGGAGAAATTTTAATGAATACAAATGGGCTAGATCTTCCAGAAAATTGGCAATCAAATGGTCTCCTTTAATTCAAACAACATATGAAAGAATAGAGGGAGATCTATTTGATGATTTAAAGGCGTTGATATGGAACTCTAATTGGCAAAGGAAGAAAGCTAGAATAAGGTTGAAAAAAACTGAGATTTTGACTCATTAGAGAGGATTTTATATTGCCAATTAGAGGGTTAAAGGGAGATGTTGAGATAAGGGGAATTTTGGAATTAGATTTATAATATTTGGAAACTAGTTGAAAATAAATATTTAATTGGCTTAATATTTAAAAATTGGACTTAAAAGGGAAAAGAAAGTTAAATATTATGAATATGTTTGATTTATTGATTAACCCAGGCAATATATATAATAGTTTTGATTTATTAAAGGGGATATTGTGTTATTAAGTAGATGATTAAATATGGGAAATAGATAAACCTTAGGGAATAGAACAAGATTATATTCAAATAGATAAAATATGTGTTTTGGATATTATAATTTGTTATCAGGTGAGATAAGGAAAACTTTGGTTACCCAAAGTCTGAAAATTATAAATATTAAAGGTTAAATTGGAATATTGATAAATTAAAAATTGAATAAAATTAGTAATAGGATATGAATTGTTTATGAAGACTGAAGATAATTAAGATATGTATGCTAAAAATCCATTGATAAATGTAATAATTAGAAATGTACTAACCCAAATATGAGACAGTAAATGTCAAAAGAAAAAGAGAAGAAATATTCGATGTTGTAACCTGAGATTTGCACTAAGATTCTGTTATTGAACTATTGTAACCCAGTCACCACATTGCTTTTTAAATATTCAAATGTAAAATTGGAAACTTAATAAAATATTATTTAAAAAAAGAGTTTAGAGCAGACATGTCAAACTCGTGATGTCATGTGACATCGCGCGACGTATCGGAGCTTTTTTGCCATTGCCGGCAATGGGGTGGGTGTGGCTCCGGTATGATGAAACCAGCCCACGGGCTGGCAGTTTGACACCCCTGGTTTAGAGATTCCCAAATTAGTATGTTGATATGCTGAACTTGTTAATTTTGAACACTTAAAACAATATGTGAAGAGATAAATAGGTCAAAATTAAACTTTATTGAGAATGTGGGGCTATTTCCTAAAGTTCTTTGCCTTTAATATTGTATGCACCTACAGTGTAGGCATGTAAAGTTGGTAATCACCCTTGCTACTTTTTCTATAAAGTTTTCATGGAGAATCATGAAAAGTATCCAGAAACCTATGTTATACGTTCATTGCAGATTGGGTGTTCTATGAATCATTTGCGCTACATATATATGCAAGTTAAATGCTACATAATCAGTCTTGTAACATTAGTGGAACTTTTAAAGTCAGTTTTGTTATATCTCCAAAGCTTTTTCAAAACTGATCTAGATTGATGTCTGTGGAGTTCTATTAATTTCATGACTTTTAAATGCCAGTAACACATTCCTAAGCAAGGATTTACTGTATTTTCTGTTGCATTTTTCAAATTAATATATTAATTGCTTCATGTTTTTCATAGTGTGAAAATATTTTAGTTGGATCAAAGTACAACTATGTCAGTATCAAACCGTGAGATTTTTCAAAGGATGACTTTTGAAAATGCATTGATATTTCATGTAGTTATTTAATACTTAACACATCTCGAATTTTCCATAACTTTTTGTGAAAATTTACAATATCATAGTTGATACATAATTTTTAGGCCAATGCATCACTAATTGTAAAAATATTTGTTTGCAATCTTATTATATAGCATTATTTTATTTAAATTAATTTCTGTGACCTTGCTAGACATCAAACTCCTGTTTTGTTTAATTCAAGCAACTATTGGGATGTATTGTCACTGTAATAATTGGATCTCATTAAAAAAATGCTCAATTGCGAGTTACAATTTTGGGGGGGTAATTATTTTTTTTAAATAATTACCAAATATCGAAAGCCCAAAGACATGCTCATCATTTCCCATCAATTCTTTTTTTTTTTTTAAAAAAAAGGAAGCAAATTACTTGATTCTAGATTTCTAACAGGCAATGTTTTTCTCTGGAAGGAAAGTGTTGCTTCAACCTTTGTGAACAATTGCTTATGTTTCAAAGAGACAATTCGCCAAATATATATGTAAGTTAGCAAAATATCTCATAAAATAAACTTGTACAATTTCAACTTAAGCTTGATCTTATTCACCGAAGAAGAAAACCTTTAACTTCTGTCTGAAGTCTGGAACCTTAGGCGTAGTACTGATATTATGCTATAGAATTAGATGTGTGGCCCCCCACTCTTTTTTTGTCTTGACAGAATAATGGGAGGTTCTATAGAGGTTCTCAATCATCCAGATCATGGTTTTTCCAAAGATGCTTTTCCAAAGGGCAACTGGATTTTCTTGTCTCCCCCCCCCCCCAAAAAAATGTTTCACTTCTCCTCCAAGAAGCTGAAGAACTGAAGAAGCTTCTTGGACAAGAAGCAAAAGATTTTCAAGGAAAACAACAAAGTCCAGTTGCCTTTTGGAAAAGCATCTTTGGGACAATAGCAACAGTGACTTTTATCAACCATTGCATAATAGCCCCTGACTTTTGCCAAATTCTATGTGCAGGTAGAAGAACAGTCTTTATGTCAAATGTGACATAAGGTTTAAGCTTCTGAATTTTAATTAAAGAAGATGTGTAATGTGAACTCTGCTTTACTGTAGTCACTGGTTATATGCTACTTAAAATACTGAGAAATATGTCAAATGTTTGAATACTGTTGATAGGCATTGCTGAGGAAATACAAAAATGTACTGTATGAGATAAAAAATTTTTTTTTAAAAAAATGGCTTTACTTGTTTAAAAAGATTAAATATGGGCATTATGATGGCAAAGCATTTTTCTTATGATTGTGTGTCCTCATTTTCAAAATTAAAACTGAAACCTGAAGAAGGAAAATCCCATCTCTTGGGTCAATGACTTGTGAATTTTTATTATTTAGAACATTTATTTATTGAATATACATCTACAATATAGCGCTATCCATACCATTCCTTCCTAAAGCATTTTTCATTAAAGCAATATAAATTAAAGGAGAAACAGTAAAAACATAGCATTCAGATAGGAAAGGCCTGAGCAAACAGCACTTCAACAGGTTTTATTCTCCAGTATTAATATCCCATCTCAAATCTGACCGAATCTAGGCAGATGACAGATAAAACATTTAAATGTAAAAAAGGAAGCATAAAGGAGAAGC